TAATGAAATATTAAGTCAGTAAAAAAAAATCCCGAAAACCATGACAATAACTGTCCACGCGACTTACTACATGACGCGAATAAACAGATTTACTCAAGAACACCCAGGCTAGTGAGCACTGTTTACGTCCTTGATAACTTCATTGTTCGAAATTGATTTAACAGGACTTCGTACGTATGTCCGCCCAAATTATTCCTTCTCGTGCGTCAACGAGGCTGCAGAAGATGACGCGCGCCATTGGACTTCGTCCTGATACAAAGTTTTTTTCTTTGTGTGAGAATATTTCTTATGCGGGCGTCATGGACAGGAACAAACACGACGTTTTCTCGTTCTCAGAGTCACTACACAGGTGAACAGAGAAGACGAAAAGGAACTATCAGAGTGGTAACTGAAGTGTTTTCGTTTCCCGCCTTCCTGCAGTGGTTCTCCTTGGACAAAATGGCGTCATCGAGAATATTAACGGTGATGTTTGTTTTACAAACAACTCCACATAATAGGGGAGCGACAAATTGGTGCGACAAGCCTCTCGATTGTTGCGGCTGTATTTAACTAAAAGCCTTTGAGCTTATGAACATTTATTTCAAGAAACTGTTGAACGACAGAATTTATATCGGACGGGAAACTGTGTTGCCTCGTGTGTCTCTCCCTGCTTTGTTGAAACACATATACAAATAAATTAATTCTACGAGTATGGACATGAAAGTGGAAAGAAGATAATAATTGAGAAATAAAATATAAAAAGAACAAGATAAATGTATACGGAATATATCAGAAAAAGAAGAAAAAGGGAAAACATCAGATAACTAAAAATAAAGATAGATATAAAGATAAAATATAAAGATAGAGCTCAGTCGATAAAATGACAGGCTAAGGGCTTGACGGCCGGGTTTCGATTCCCGGCAGCAACAAGAGATATTTCTCTACTCAACAGCGTCAAGACCATCTTTGGGGCCCACTCAGCTTCTTATTCAATGGATACCGAGGGATCTTTCCCTAGGAGGAAAACGGCAGGGGCTTGAGGTCGAGAATGGTGGAACTATACCTCCACTCCTCCATATACCTCCATGGCATAATGCTTAATTACATAAGCACAGGGACAGCTTCACCTTTTACAGCTCCATCTAATACTGAAGTTAAGAACATTGGTGCTATACGTCCTTATGTCTTGATGCTTAAGTAATTAAGAAAAAGGGAAATTTCTTTACCTTAACATTAGAAGTGATATTAAACAAATGCTGTGTAAGGTTGAGTACTGAATTCAGCCGATTAGGGGTAGAGGTCAGTGGCGAGCTCTTGCGAGTAATTTAATGTACTTTGGGGGCACCACAAAAGGAGGATAATTTTTTGAAGATCTCAGAAACTGTTAGCTTATCAAATAGGAACTCCTTGAAGTGTCATTACACTCGGTGCTGAGTTAACGTACTTCAAAGTTTGCTGAAGAAACAGATAAACTCCAATAAATCGGCGTTTCTTCCAGAAGCTGCACGAACACTTGGCGTGTGAGTCACGCTGCCTGTGTCCAGACTGCAACATTCGTTAATGTTAATGA